CGCACGCTTCGTGGCTCCATGGAAAACTCCTCCGAAAGCCCCAATGGCAAAGTTCGCACGCGGCTCCCGCCCGCCGCATGTCCGCATCGGCACACCATTCGCGCTTCTTGGCCGCAAGGGGAGCTCCACCGAAGGCCCCAGTGGCAAGATCCACATGCGGACCCCCGCCCATCGCATGCCAATTCCGGCGCTCGCACCACGCGTTTCATGGCCCCATAAAAGGAGGCCCACCGACCCCCCCCGTGGTAAAATTGGCATGCGGCTACCCGCCCCGCATGTATGTATATGTATGTCTGTCTGTCTGTCTGTCTGTCTGTCTGTCTGTCTGTCTGTCTGTCTGTCTGTCTGTAGGTATGTATGTCGCCCGTACTCCGGGAGGGTCCACACGGGCGCCGCAGAGACCTACGGAGCCTCCCGAGTCCTTGTGAGCTCGACGAGAGCGAATGCAGCACGCCGAATTTCGTAAAGATGGCCGTCCCACTCCTCATCAGCGGGCGGCGGAGCAAGAACGCGGGCAGTGTTATAGATATGATATGCCATCACCATCGCCTCGACACTCTGCATCGACGCGGCTCCATTGAGGCCTATGCGAGCTCTGAGGCAACAGGGAGGCGGCGAGCCCTGGGGGTAGGCGAGGCCCCAGAGAACATCACACTGGAGGTAATGAGAAAAAGGTATCGAGGGCAGGGACAAGCGGGGGCTCGCGACTCCGAAATTTACAGGGACGCACGCCGTCCTGCACACGCAGCCGTGCCGAGGTCAACCAAGCCCCTGAGATTGTCTTCAGGACGGCACTCTGCCACGATGGGGCCACCCGCTTCAGGAGCTCACGCAGAGGGGGCCATCGAGCACGGGCAGTGGCGGCACCCACACGGGCGCCACGAGCAACCTCGAGCCCCCACGCCCTCATCCTACGCATGATCAGGAGATGGAGGGAGTCAGGATGGAGGGACTAGTGCAAGGCAGCGTACAACATTTTCTGAACACGCACTCGCCCGCCCGACGCCAATGCTTGCGCCTCGGCCTGTCGGAGGGCGACCCAGGCAGGGCCAGCGTGGCGGGCGAGCGCACGATCACTCACGAAGCCCCCGTGCGCTTCGGCCAGCCCCATGACGATGGGCTTCGTCCTCCAGAAGGACGGGGGGAACTGCCGCAGGCCGACGGCGAGCAGCGACGCGTTGTCGAGCTGGTCGCGGAGCCAAGCGAAGAGCTGCTGCCAGTTGGAGACGGTCGCGTGGGCGGCGCGCATCATGGCCGCAAGGCCGGCCGCCCTCATCGAATGGATGCGGGGGCCCGTCGACCACGCGCCGATGGCGAGGTAGTCGCTTCCCGCCATGGACTGGGGCGGGACGTGCCAGATCTTGGCGATCGCCCACGCCTCCTTGGTGACCAGCATCCTCGACGTCATCGCGAGCTGCTGCAAGTAGCTGAGGACGGGGAGGACGCGCTGGTTGTAGAGCCGAGCTGCCGTCGATGGTGGGGCTCCGCTCAGCGCGAGGTCCACGACCCGCGACGCCCACTTCGCGCCAGCCTTCGTCCAGATGTCACGCTCCGTCGCGCCAGGGCCGACCACGAAGCCGAGGTGCTCGCCCTTGTCCTGGATCAGCATAGATGCCCTGGACGGGATGTGGCGGTGCAGCCAGTCCCTGAGGTCCGCGATCGCCGAGTCGTCCAGCTCGCCGTCGAGCGGGATCAGCACGCACTTGTGATGCTTCAAGTGGAGGCCCGCCAGCACCCGCGCCGCCTGGAAAGCCCACCAGAGCCCCGCCAGCAGTTGCCGCCGTCCGAGAACAGCTCCCACATCATCAGCACACACTCCCAGCGCCGAAAGTCCGCGCTCGGTGAACCTCCTCATGTGGAGGATGAACGGGTTCATCACGACGGCCCACAGCGAGCCCGGTGCAGGGCAGCCCTGAGCGAGCCCGCAGGAGACGCACGTGAAGTGCACCAGTGCGCCCGCCAGCTCCACGAAGGCCGTGGGGAGCCAGTAGAGCGCGAGCACCGTGTAGAGCAGCCCGCCCTCGAAACCAGAGAAGATGAGCATGGTGACGGCCCACTCCACCCTCAGCGATGGGAAGGCGTCGCCGAAGTCGAAGAGCGCCATCAGGGGCCTCTCGCTCGGGTGGAAGCCCGCAGCGCGGGCCTTCGTGTCCAAGAAGGTGATGTTGTCGATGAAGTTGCGGCCCCGCAGGAAGCCCCGCTGGGGAGCGGGGGAAGCCTTCTCCACGGGGCCCTTCAGACGTGCATTCATAGCTGCTGCCACCAGCTTGCAGTCAGCGCGATCGCTCGCGTAGTGCTGGCCGTGCGGTATGCACCATCCACCAGGTCGTTCTCCAGCGAGCCCTTGGGGAGGAAGGCCATCAGGTGATCGTTCCAGTCGACAGGCGGGGCCAGCCCCATGGCGACCTCGATGACGACGTCCTCGATCGCACCCAGGGCCTCAGGGCAGCTCCTCCAGGCGGCATACGGGAGGCCATCGGGCCCAGGGGCAGAGTCCCTG